TTTTTATTATTAAATCCGGTCTCTTTCCAAAAAAGAGAACAACCGTACCGTAACCGACATACCGCACCGCACAACCGACGCGATCTTGAAGAGAAACCGATCTTCCAAGCAAAGCAAACAGACAAAATGGCTAACTGTATCGCGCAAAACTGCACACTTCACACAAGTAAGAAGAAGATGCGGCAAGATTTTTAAAATTTCTTAATATTTCTTTAAAAAATCATGAAACATGAACAAAAACAACAAAAAAGGTTACATATTTTAGCCTTAAGCCCCAATGTGTGTTTTTTTTTAGGCCTCTTACTTTTTTTAAGCAAAAAATAGCTAATGACGCAGTAACACACACACACACACATAGAGGCATTTGGTTTTCAATATGCGCCGCATTTTCACTTTAAAAATCACTTTTCACTAAGAAATATATATTTTTTTCATTACACTTTATGTTTTTAAGGAACTGAAACACTAAGAAACACACGAAAACTAAAGGAAAACACCGATAACTAGCGGAAACGCAGAGACGATCGAAAATGCAACTGATCACGTCGGCAGCCGTCGAGAGAATGCGGAAAAAATAGCGGGGGAGAGAGCGCCAGTGCAGCCGCCATGTGCAGTGGAAAGCTCTGCGCTCGCGTGCACGATCTCCCGTTTCCTACTGCCTTCCCATGGCTGTTCAAAGGCATACGAAGAAGAAGAAGAGCTCTGCGCTGACGTGATGAAATACCGTACGTTTTCTACTGCCTTGCAATGGGTGTTCAAAGGCATAAGAAGAAGAAGAGCTCTGCGCTCGAGTGCACGATCTCTCGTGTTCTACTGCCTCCCAATGGCTGTTCAAAGGAATAAGAGGAAGAGCAAGACTAAATGATAAGATTACGTCATTTTTGAACCGATTTTTCTTGCAAAAACTTGAATGAAGAAAATATTTGTTGAAAAATTTTTAAAGAAATACAAATCCTTAAAAGATTTTCATACATTTTTTTATAAAAAATATCAGTAATGGCTTCAGTAGCAAAATACTACAATAAAAACTTACAGTTAATAATTATGTAAAAAAAGTTAAAAATGTTTGGTTTTTTCCCTTCTAATTTCTTAAATTTAATTACAAATAAGAAATATAATGATTTTCTATAAAATTAAAATTTTCTCTATCAACCCAATAGCCGAGCCGCCCAAAAGCATGCAATAAATATTTTTGTCCCAAAACCCAAAATATGAACTTTCACTTTGGGATGAAGTTTCCCCGATTGACCGATAGCGGGCGCCACTATCCACTCCGGCAGCTGATCAATGTTAATTGACCAAAAATTGTTTTGCCGTCCGCCGCGAGGACATCAACTCTGGCTAAATGCCTCCTGCAGTGGCAGTTTATGACTTGGCCATTGTCCTCGGCCACCGCAAAGTCCTTTTCCCTACCACCTCCCTAGCCCCCCCTCCAACCACCTCTCTCTCTTTACTCTCCATTTTGCGAGTGGCTTTGATGGCTGCCGTGGAATCCTGCGGCAGTTGTTGTTGTTGTTGTTATTGCTGGTGCTGCTGCTGCTGCTGCTGGTGATGTTGGTGTTGCAGTTACTGCAGTTGCAGCTGCGGTTCCCTCAACTGCCACAGTCAGCGATAAAACCACAAAACAGCAACAGCCATAAGCGAGGGGGGTGGTGGGTGGTGGTTGGAGATGGTGGGTGGTTGGGTGGTTGGCAAGGAATGACTGGCAAGGACAGGGGCGTGCAAGAACAATGAGGTGATAAACTTGCAGGCTCAACGCATGACAACGATACCCACCACCACCAACAACAACAACAACAACAACAATGACAAGAACAACAGTGAAGGCAGTGACGACGGCGGCGACAACGTCACATTTTGATGGCTCCTTGGAGAGCTGGCAGCCCCCCTGGTTGAAGACACCACCCCCTCGTCGTCACTCCCCATAGCACCCAAAACCCCCAATTCCGCAGGACTGCAAAAAAATAAATACACTCGGAGAAAATTTTCAAAGACGATAAAGGAGAGATATTTATAAAATATTGTAATAAATTATAAAATTTTTAAGCTTTAAGAGTTAAATTAAAAATTGATAAAAATTAACTGAATGAATTTGTATTTATTTTTATATGGGAAAAGTTCTATAAAGTTTAAGACAATATAAAAAAAAATTTTAATAAAATATTTCATATTGTTTTGATTTAAAATTCTAAAAAGAAACATGTAATATATTATTTGGTATTATGTTTAAAAATGTTTTTAAAATATGTATTTAAAATTTGAATTATAAGCATATATGTATATATTTGTTCACTTACGCAATATTTATAAAAAATTGTAAAAAATAGTGTATCTGAAAAAAAAAGAAAAAAAGAATAATTATTAAAAATCAACAAAAATAATTGAAATACATTTTTTAAACTATAGAAAATTTGTAGATTTTAAAGTGTAGACTTTAAAAAATCTTTAAGTTCCTAATTTATAATATATTTCAAGATTTTATAAGTAAAATTACTTTAAAAAAAATTTAAAATTAATTTTCTAATTTAAATTCATTAAAAACTCAACTCATTTATGATATAAAATCTCAAATTAAATCATAAATGTCGTCTTAAAATAAAAACCTAAAACCTAAGATCGAAAAAGATTCAAATTCTTTCCAAAGAAAACCTTTTTTAAAGTATGAATATTTATTAAAAAAAAATTAACAAAAAATTACAAAAAATTCAGAACACTCTGTAGAAAAATCCCCGATTATAATCACTTGCCTTGATATTTTTTTTCAGTGTATTTAAGCAAGTGCAGGCATCGCTTCTCCGCTCGGTGCCTTGTGTGCATGCAAACAACAAAGGAAAATCAGCAACAGCAGTTGCCCCTTCTACCAGTGCGCCCCTGGTCGCTGGTCCCCCCCCCTAGCTCCACATCCCCCTCCTCGCTTAAGTCACTCTACATCCCCCCACCCCCAACCCCCGACAAACCCCTGAGTCTTGTGTAAGGGATTCTTTTCTTGCTCTTTAACGTGTTTCAAAAGAAAGTTGGTTGACTTTTGAATGACTTTCTTGGCGCGCTTGGCTCGCAGCACTCCCCCTCCCCCCCCCCCCCCTACTTTCTGCAGGACCCGTCCTCCCTTGTCGGCCCCCACACCCCCTGGTATTGTTGTTTGTTTTATGTGTTAAGTGCGCTGGGCCCGAGCGCGCAAATTTCTTCTTGTAACTGATGCTGACGTTGACATCGCAGCCCCAAGCGACCCATAGCCCCCCCCTCTGACATTTTTCTCACCAAAAAAAAAAACCATATATATATATGCAACAAATATATATAAAAAGAGAGAGAGAGGTGGCGGGGTGTGTGCACAGTCGAGTCGAAAATCTAGTTACAATTAAAGTGACAAGCTGGCAACAGCAAAAACAAAGTCCTGACCAAATTCAAACAAATTGCATTCACTTTGATCGTACTCGGGGAAATTTTTGCCACTCGCCAAAATGATTTGCGAAAAATGCAGGGGATGGTGGAGGGAGAGGGGGACTTCATATAAATGGAATTAAAATAAGTTAAATGGGGTTAATGCGTAAGTTACTAAAAGGGAAAGTGGTTCAGATCTAGAGACTTAGTGGTAGTGTTCAACGCTAAAATTTAAAAAAATTATTTTTAGATTGTATTTCAAACTTTTGAAAATTTTTAAAATTATAGAATACAGATGGAAAAGATTCTTAACTTAAATATTACAATATTTTTGTTAATTGTTCTATAAGAAATGTAAAAAAAATAGGAAATAAATATTAAAATATAAAGAAATTTTTGCTTTCAATTTTAGATAGAAATTATGAGTTTCTGATTACCATATTCGTTTTTATAAATATTGATATTTATTTAAAAAAAAATATTGAATTTAATGTTAAAAAAAAAACATAATTCCGTAATAGAATTGATAGATGATTATATAGAATATATTTTAAAGAATATATTTTGAATATATTTTAATGTACAACTTTATTCAAATATTTCCAGGACACCTGATAAGTCGACTCCTCCTCCTATATCTTTCACTGCTAGCCCATTCCTCCGTCCCCCCCCTCGTGGTAGCCACCTCTTTTATCCCATCGGCACTATGGGCTTGCACTTGTTTTAATTACTGCCCCGTGTTGATTTCCCCAAGACCAAAAAGACCAACACAAAGTGAATTTTCAATTTTTTGCACCAGTGTGTTCCGGCAAAAGCTCCGGAAAAAGGAGACTTTCAGCTGCATTTTGGCTTTCCATTTGTTTGCTTGACTTTTTCTTTGGTGGTTTTGTTTTTTTTTTTTTTTGCATGCAAGAGATATGGGAGGTCGTTTTATATGACAAAGGTAGGGAAGAAAAATTAATGAATTTATATAATAAAAGTAAGGGCTATGGTACTTCTTTAAGTATTGATTTATTTAATAAATAATAATATTTTATTTATTGAAATTTGGGTGTGTGTTTAGAGAGGGGGAAATTAAAAAATTGTCGTTTTAAAAGTACTGGGTATCATACATTTGTTTTTCTTGAAAAATACTATTTGCTTCCCCTATTTATTTTAGGGACTCCAGAGAAAGAAAGGTAGAAAATATTTCTTATTTTATTACCAAAAGTATAATAGTACTGAGTATCATACATCTTTTAGTATTTATTTGCCTTACAAAAATACCACTATGTTCTCTTTTTAAACGAGAGAAACAAATTATTAAGTCTAAATACCAAAAGTACCGTGTATCATACACTTTTTGGTATTTAAGTGTTAGTATTTAGCTTGAAAAATACTATAAGTTTCTCTTTCCACCAAATGAAAAGGCATTTCCAATACAAGATAATAGTTCTTGATGATTTATATCAGAAAGAGTCAAATTTTAATACCAGAAGTACCGTATATCATATACATATCATGTAGTATACGTTCTTTAAAAAAAAAACCTTTTTTTGGTGTTTTTGTTTTCTAAGATGCAAGTTTATTTTTTTAATAAATATATCGATTTTGAAATTTTTCTCAAGCCCATGTGTTAACCCCTTTTTCAGTTGCTGTTGTTGTTGTTGTTGCCCTGGCGAGTGCGACGCCTCTGCTGCTGGCCATTAACGTTGATGATGCGACGTCTATGATCGGGTCGGACATTGTTGCGCCTTCTGTTATTGTTGTTGTTGTTGTTGCCATTGCGACGCCTATTGTTGTTGTTGTTATTGTTGGGACGACGACGTCTCTGCTGCTGTTGACCGCGACGCTGGCCTCCAGTGTTCTTGTTGTTGTTGCGATTGCGACGACGTCGCACTACCACAGCACCGCCATTTCCGTTTCCGTTGATGCGTCGACGCTTCTGCTGCTGGCGGCGTCGCTGCTGCTGCAACCTCTGCTGCTGTTGCTGCTTCTGGGCGGGACGACGGCGACGTCGGCGATTTTTCTGCGGCTGCTGTCTGGGATGATTGGTCTGTTGAACCTCCTCCTCTTGGTTATCATCTTCATTCTGATCCTGTTCCTTTAATTTTAATTTTTTTTTTAAATATTTTATTTCATTTTAATAATTATATTTTTTTTTAAAGCTGCATACCTGCATCTCATCCTGTTCCTTGTCCTCATCGGATGGATTCTTTTCGGTAGTGCTGCTCTCGGCACTCTCCACCTTGCCGTCCTTGATCTGCTTGATGTCGCCCACTCGGACACTGGTCACCTGGTCGCATGGCACATCGCTGTAGATCACCACGTTGCCATAATTGCAAACAATCTGATCGGCCTGCTTCTCCTCAACAGCCTGACGACCCTCGATGGCGCCCATGCCGCGCTTGTCCTCAATCTCATAGATGTTTCCAGACTTGGTAATAAATCCAGTGACCTGCAGGGGTTTGGCACCATCCTTGGCCTTCAGCAGGGGTTCCTGTTTCATTTCAGGAACCTAAAAAAATTATATAAATTAAATTTATAGTTAAAATTTAATTTTAAATAAATTTCTTACCTTTTTTTGCTTACTGGGCGGAGCATTAACAATCATTGCTTTGGTGGGCGTAACCTCCATTTTGGGGGCATTTGTTGGTTTCACCGTTGAGGTCACCAGTGGTGGCACCGTTTGACCTTTGACACCAAAAAAATTTCAACAAAAAAAAAAGCAAATCACACACACATATTAATTATTTTTCTGTTTCTTGGATCGAAAATTGTTGGTAAAAAAATTTACCGCTCACCAACGAGAGGTCGCTGGTAAAGGCCATGGCCCCGACCAGGACCAGGATCATCCCGAATCCCGAATTGCCGCAAAACATCATTTCTGACCAACTGTTAGGTCTCTTCTCGATCAACTGATTCGACTTTTGGGCCTTGGCTCCGACTTATATTAACTTTTTTTTGTGTGTCGGCCATTCCACTAACGGCATTTCACTAAGAATTTTTTTTTATTTTCACAATTTTGTGCTTTTTTTTTTTTAATTTTAATTTTAACCTTTTATTTTTGTTGTTTTTTGTTTTATTTTTGCATAATTAACTTGGCGAGTTCAAAGCGTGTCAGGCGAGAAGAATGGACCCGGGGGCGACCCATTTTACAAAAGGGAATATTACTGAGAAAAATACTTTTCAATATTTTGATTACGGTTTTATTTTTTAAATCTTAGAAAAAGGTCAAATTTTTTAATATAATTTCATTTGAAAAAATTAACTTTTTAAAAAGAAAAACAAAAAAAAAAATTATTATTAGGTTCCCGAAAAAACCAACTTAAAATAGAAAAAAAAATACAAAAAATATTTATATATATTTAATTGTCTTTATATTATATTCTTATACACATAAAAAAATTGTCTTTAAATAAAATAAGTTTAAATAAAATAACTAGCTCTACTCCATCTCAAATCAATAGCTATTGATTGAGATATGTATATCAAGAACAAAGACATCGATTCCCTTTAGGCACCAACTTTAAACAAAAAAATAAACAAATTTTATATTTAGTCGTCTTTTAATAAAAATAAGGCCAGCACAGCATAACTGTCCCATTTGTGGAACAACTCAAGACCCAAAGGCTCTAATATTTAAAAATAATAATATTTTATAATGAATAATAAAATAAAAAAATCAGGAAAAAAAAAATAAAATAAAAATAAGCCCAGCATCACTTCACTGGGACAAGCACAACTCCCATAGGCCCCACTCTAATATTTAAACAAAATAATAAATTACAATGAATAATAAAAAATCAAAAATCAGGAAAAAATAAAAAAAATAAAATAATGAGGAGCTAGATGTGGAGCGTTCGACTCCACATCTGGTACTGATTGAATTCATATCCTTTCACTACGAACAAAACTCGTGTCAAGGGAAAATGTCCTAACGCCTTTTTGTGAAGCGTTATTTCGTGAAGCCTTTTTTTAGTCTTAGTAAACGGTGACACTTTTTTGTGGCATGGAGATGAGAGTTTTTAAAAGCCTTTTTTAATGTCTACATTTTTGCAAATATATGAAACTATAAGGGTTTCTCAAGATTCTACACCTTTCATAATAATTAAATCATACATTTCTTCCAGTGTATTGATAACCTCTTCCACTTCCCATCATCCCAATATTCCACCGGGCAGAGTTCAATGGCTCAAACTCATTAGCATTCATATTTCTTCGTCGATTTTCGCTGGCTGTTTCGCAAAACTAAACAGAAAACCAAAAATTCTCCTCATTTCATTTTTTCTTTTTCGCTTGATTATGCAAATTATGCTTTCTTGGTCATCTACTAGTAGTTTCAAATTTGTGACCCTTAGCTACACACATGTTTGCATATATATGTATATATTTATGTATGTATATTATTAGCTGGCAAACATGTGTGGCTAATATTTTTCATCTATTAGTGGAAGTGCCCTTGTAAAAAAGTGCTGTAACTAAAGAAAACTTGTTGAATGCCCGAAAAACGAGTTTTTTTTTTGGTTGCCTGGGATTTTATTTCTGGTCTAGCTTAGCGGAAACATTTATTGTCGAATGCAAATAAGCTATGCTGGCAAGTGATTTAATAATAAATCATTTACTTGTCCAACAGGGTTAGAGGTTAGTTTGGCAATCAGGGAAAAAAAAAAACTCCCAAATAAAGGTATAACTTTCACCTAGTTTTCGTTTGATCTGATTGTGATTCAATATTTGATTACTTTGGTTTATGGTTTGGAGTGATAATAACCAAGTAAACTTTATCCAAAGCATTTTAAGTAAAAAGTAGGATATTTGCACTTTCTTTCTCTGTTGATTTGAGGGGTTTTATTGGTTTATTATGAATCAGTATCCATGTAAGCTTGGGCTGCTTGAAATATGAAAGTCATACACATATGTTGTATACAGTTTCAATGTTTTTAATCAAACTATTTAAGAAATAAGAAAATACAATTTTTTTAAATCAAGTTAGCTGACAAATTTTTCGCCCAAAATCAAATAAACTGAATATCTATATTTTTTTCTTTAAAAGTATGTTTTTGGAGGAATCTTTTAAGAAAGTGTACCTTTTTAAGATCTTTTATTTACAAATCTTTTTAAGAAACTATATCTGTTTCTAAATTATAGACCAATATAGAGATATAGAGAGAAGTTACTACAAATAATAGATACTAGATTATAGAAAAATTAAATTGTATAGAGTATTATAAAGTATATTTTTGCATCAGAAACAGTCTTAACTAATATCTGATATGGTTTTCGATATATTAAAAAAATTAAATATGGTATATAAAATATAAAATTTTAATTTTAATAGAAACTTTGAAAGCAAAAAAATTTTTAGCCCATTTTTAAACCCAACATTATTTAACAATCTTGAAAATTCTAGTTTTTATAATCCTTTTAAATAAAATCACTTTCCACTGTATTGGTTTTTTACTTTTTCAAGTAAATTCATATTTTATTTATGATTGTAATTCATTTTCTTTTTTTTTTAATTTTTACACTTAAGCAACAATAAAAAAAATTCAATTAATTTATGTTTTTAGAGCAGAATTTTTTAATTCTTCTGCTTTTGTTTTTGGGCGTAGTTCTTGAGGGCATCGGAGAGTTCGGAGAGGGCCGACTGCTGGGCACGCTCCTGCTTCTTCTCCTGTTGCTTCTTCAGCTGCTTGCAGAGCTTCTTCAGCTGCTTGCGTTCCTTCTTGGCGGATTTCTTCTCGCCGCTGTCGTCCTCCTCGGAGGAGGAAGAATTTCCGCGCTTGTGACGGTTCTTGAGTTCCTCGCATTGCTTCAAAAGTTTTTCGGCCTCATCATCGGGCTTGGGAGTGGTAGTAGTAGTTGTGGTAGTGGTGGTGGTGCTGGGGGTGGTGGAGCTGGTGGTGGTGCTGGGGGTGGTTGTGCTAGTAGTGGTACTGGCAGTGGTAGACTCAGATTTTGGCTTCTCCGTTGTGGTTGTCGTTGTAGTTGTTGGTTTTGGAGTAGTTGTTGTAGTTGTTGTCGTGGTGGTGGTGCTTGGAGTGGTACTGCTGGTAGTTGTGGTGGTGCTGGGGGTTGTGGTGCTGGAACTATCCTGCGGCCTGGCCAACACCATCGAACAACTGGCCACGAAAAGCAGACCGAAAATCAAAGTCGTCGCACGCATTTTTGAATATTTTTCTCGTCTTGTGTGATTTACCTCCAATCGACAACTAAATGGAGATCATTGGCGGACATTTGCTTATATATATGAACGGCACTTAGCAGCCCCACCCCCTTGAATGCCCCACCTCCCACCTAAAGAGGCATACACGACTGGTTTTTTAGTTTTTTTTTTTGGGCTCACGACTAGAAAAACGTCTATAAATTGTCATTAGACATTGAAATTTTTATAAACACTTTTTTGTATTTCGGGGATTTTTTCCAAGATGCTCTACAATCGAAATGTTAGGGTACATGGGTTGACAATAAAAGACATTGTAATTTTGAAAATATATATTGTCATATAATAATTTAAATTGTAAGATATATTTGGATTTTATTATGTTTTAAATTGTTTTTATTATTTTTAATACAAGTTTTCACTTTTATTTGATTCTTTATGGAATTAAATTTATATTAAATATAAAAAATGTTTAAAATAAAAAAGTTGCGAACTCATTTGTCACCTTAGCCTTACTTTCAAATAGTTCCCTTAAAAACAAACCAAATTCCACTAGTCCATATGGCCCAAAGTCTGCTCAAAAATAGTGCCTTCTTATCAAATATATTTATTTATTTATTTTTTTTGTGTCTGGCCAGCACGCCAGCAAGTTTTTGTGCTATTTGCGATGGTCATTAGCGAGTTCCGAGAATTGTCTGGTTTTATAAGCAAATTGTTCTCGTCTTATTGAGCAGTTGTGTTTTCGGCCACATGTGCCTTTTAATAATTAAAATAAAAATATGTATACAAAGTATATAATTATTTTTAAATATATATTTTTGAGGTATACCCTTAAAAAAGGTGTATATGATTTTAAGGGTGAACAAGAAAATTTATAAAAATGGAAGTACTTTTAGCTAGGGGTTTGTAAAGATAATAATGAAATAATATAATATTATGAGAAGTATTTATTTATGAGCTAAAGGCTTTATTATTATATTTATTATATTATATTGAATTCCTCCAAATAAAATTCGTTAATAATTATTTATAATTCTATCTTCAAAAAACTCTTATAATTTTATATTAACTTTCACTAAAAACGTTTCATTTAAGTGTTTTAGTCATTTAAAGTCTCAATATCATTAAAAAATGTCACAAGGAATAATCACAAAGTAATTAAAAAATATTTACTACCCACTAAAGTAGTTTCTAAAATTCCATTAAATTGCCAAACGCCATTAAATGACATCAATAGACTATAAGAGTCTTTGAGTCTACATAGTATAAGTCTAAGTATTTCAAAACTATTAATACCAAAAATGAATATTAAATTGTAAATAAAATAATAATTTTATTTTAATTAAAATTCAAAATTATTTAAGAGTATTTAAGAATCATATACTCCCTTTTAATAATTTTTCCAACCCCCTAATTTAAGTTTATATTATATATTCTTTTCATTTTTTTTGTTGTTGTTTGCGGCCCGCTCATAATGCCGCTAATTGTTTATCAATTACACTTGTTAATTGTTTAATGCGACTGCCGGAGGAGAGGGTGCGAGGCTGGCGAGTGCGGGGGCCAAGTGCAGTTGCAAGTTCTGGGACACCACCACCGTACAAATTGCAACATTTATCCGCACACCTGATACCTCCACGATTACTTGCCTCTTTTTTTTGTTGTATTCGTTGCTGTTTGGCGTTTTATTTATTTTTTTTTTGTCTGTTTGCAATTTGTACAAGTAATTGAATAAAAAAAAAAAGGCGCAACAGAAACAGAAACAAAAAAAATGAGGCAAGTAATTAAAAAACGACGCAGCACAAAAAGCGTGCCGAAGCGCAAGAATGCCAGGCGTTGGGTCGGCTGGTCCTGCTTCTGGGGGAGGGGGCCTGGGTGGGTTGGTGGGCTATTGGGTGGGTTTGGTGGGCTAGTGGGTGGGATCAGCTCATTTAAGCCGGCTGTGACAGAGAGAGACCAAAGTCGGAACCACACCGCGTAATCCATATGCAGCAATTTAAATGCAACAGAGAGAATATGTTAATTGCGTGTGAAACCGCCCGGGCCGGGTCTCATCGCCACTTGCGATATTTGCTTTTATTTATTACATATTATAATTATAATTTATTTGTGTGCTTTCATCTTTTTCTTTTTTTTTTTTTATATATATTTTATTCGGCGATGACACTCTTCGGCCTTTGGGTTATTTGTTTTTAATTAGTGCCTGGCTGGGTAGTTCACACAGTTCTTTACGAAAAATAACTTGAAGGAGGTATTTAAATAATTATTCTTGAGGGAGTTCCTATACTACGCCCTGGGAGTGCCATATCTTCTTGAGGAGGATATCTTTGGAAGCCACATCTACGACAATTTCTATCCGATTCTCAAGAAGAATAACTTAAACGATTTCTGGGTCGATTTGCTACCATTCTGCATCAAAATCCTGAGATAAAATATTTTTTAGATTTTTTGTCCATTTTCCTGATGGGATCCCTTGAAAATGTGGTTTTTCCCTATAGGGCCCACGGTGATAGCTATATCTTCCCCAATTCTTATCCGATTCTCAAGCGGAGTACAAAATCCTGAGATAAAATATTTTTTCGATTTTTTGTCCATTTTCCTGATGGGATCCCTTGAAAATGTGGTTTTTCCCTATAGGGCCCACGGTGATAGCTATATCTTTCCCAATTCTTATCCGATTCTCAAGCGGAGTACCTTAAACGGGTTCTAGATTGATTTGCTACCATTCTGCATCAAAATCCTGCGACGAAATATTTTTTCGATTTTTTGTCCATTTTCCTGATGGGATCCCTTGAAAATGTGGTTTTTCCCTATAGGGCCCACGGTGATGGCTTTATCTTCCCCAATTCTTATCCGATTCTCAAGCGGAGTACCTTAAACGGTTTCTAGATCGATTTGCTACCATTCTGCATCAAAATCCTGAGATAAAATATTTTTTAGATTTTTTGTCCATATTCCTGATGGGATCCCTTGAAAATGTGGTTTTTCCCTATAGGGCCCACGGTGATAGCTATATCTTCCCCAATTCTTATCCGATTCTCAAGCGGAGTACAAAATCCTGAGATAAAATATTTTTTCGATTTTTTGTCCATTTTCCTGATGGGATCCCTTGAAAATGTGGTTTTTCCCTATAGGGCCCACGGTGATAGCTATATCTTTCCCAATTCTTATCCGATTCTCAAGCGGAGTACCTTAAACGGGTTCTAGATTGATTTGCTACCATTCTGCATCAAAATCCTGCGACGAAATATTTTTAAGATTTTTTGTCCATTTTCCTGATGGGATCCCTTGAAAATGTGGTTTTTCCCTATAGGGCTCACGGTGATGGCTTTATCTTCCCCAATTCTTATCCGATTCTCAAGCGGAGTACCTTAAACGGTTTCTAGATCGATTTGCTACCATTCTGCATCAAAATCCTGCGACGAAATATTTTTTAGATTTTTTGTCCATTTTCCTGATGGGATCCCTTGAAAATGTGGTTTTTCCCTATAGGGCCCACGGTGATAGCTATATCTTCCCCAATTCTTATCCGATTCTCAAGCGGAGTATCTTAAACGGTTTCTAGATCGATTTGCTACCATTTTGCATCAAAATCCTGAGACAAAATATTTTTTAGATTTTTTGTCCATATTCCTGATGGGATCCCTTGAAAATGTGGTTTTTCCCTATAGGGCCCACGGTGATGGCTTTATCTTCCCCAATTCTTATCCGATTCTCAAGCGGAGTATCTTAAACGGTTTCTAGATCGATTTGCTACCATTCTGCATCAAAATCCTGAGACGAAATATTTTTTAGATTTTTTGTCCATATTCCTGATGGGATCCCTTGAAAATGTGGTTTTTCCCTATAGGGCCCACGGTGATGGCTTTATCTTCCCCAATTCTTATCCGATTCTCAAGCGGAGTATCTTAAACGGTTTCTAGATCGATTTGCTACCATTCTGCATCAAAATCCTGAGACGAAATATTTTTTAGATTTTTTGTCCATTTTCCTGATGGGATCCCTTGAAAATGTGGGTTTTCCCTATAGGGCTCACGGTAATGGGTATATCTTCCCCAATTCTTATCCGATTCTCAAGCGGAGTATCTTAAACGGTTTCTAGATCGATTTGCTACCATTCTGCATCAAAATCCTGAGACGAAATATTTTTTAGATTTTTTGTCCATATTCCTGATGGGATCCCTTGAAAATGTGGTTTTTCCCTATAGGGCCCACGGTGATGGCTTTATCTTCCCCAATTCTTATCCGATTCTCAAGCGGAGTACCTTAAACGGTTTCTAGATCGATTTGCTACCATTCTGCATCAAAATCCTGAGACAAAATATTTTTTCGATTCTTTGTCCATTTTCCTGATGGGATCCCTTGAAAATGTGTTTTTCCCTATAGGGCCCACGGCGATGGCTATATCTTCCCTAATTCTTACCCGATTCTCAAGCGGTATACCTTAAACGATTTCTAGATCGATTTGCTACCATTCTGCATCAAAATCCTGAGACGAAATATTTTTTAGATTTTTTGTCCATTTTCCGGATGGGATCCCTTGAAAATGTGGTTTTTCCCTATGGGGCCCACGGCGATGGCTATATCTTCCCCAATTCTTATCCGATTTTTAAGCGGAGCACCTTAAACGATTTCTAGATCGATTCTCCACCATTCTGCATGAAAATCCTGCGACGAAATATTTTTCAAATTTTTTGTCCATTTTCCTGATGGGATCCCTTGAAAATGTGGTTTTTCCCTATGGGGCCCACGGCGATGGCTATATCTTCCCTAATTCTTACCCGATTCTCAAGCGGTATACCTTAAACGATTTCTAGATCGATTTGCTACCATTCTGCATCAAAATCCTGAGACAAAATATTTTTTAGATTTTTTGTCCATTTTCCTGATGGGATCCCTTGAAAATGTGGTTTTTCCCTATAGGGCCCACGGTGATAGCTATATCTTCCCCAATTCTTATCCGATTCTCAAGCGGAGCATCTTAAACGATTTCTAGATCGATTTGCTACCATTCTGCATCAAAATCCTGAGACAAAATATTTTTTCGATTTT